CCAGTATAATACAAAATAAAAAAAAAACAGATGGCAGAGGGTAGCCAGTGCTGTAAACTCATCAAGCACCACTGTTTCTCCACTGTAAACAGCATTACAATGACATCAAGAGAAACTTATTGGCAAACATGTCATCAGACCATCTTCACTAGCAAGAGACTGGTTAGAGGCATATTATGATGAACACGAACAAGAACTGATGGATTTCAATAACCAAGATTTAACTGATAAAAGGAGCTCACCTTCATGAGAACACCGTCATTCAGATTTAATAGGTATGTTTTTTTTGTTGGCAAACAAATGCTTTTGTTGTTTTGTCATGCTTATATGCAACTTTCTCTTTTTTTGCTCATTCAGTCATCCCTTTAGCATCCTTACCCTTTTATTTTATTTTCCTGCTTCCCTCCATCTTTTTCTCCTTCCAGCTATCTCCCTATGCCTACCTCAGTTTCTCTTTATGTCCGTCTCTACTCACTTCCATCCAACTTACCATCCATCTAGCTCCTAGCAAAAAGATTTAAAACATCGCTCTGTCCATCCATTCTTTCCACTCCTCAATACCTCTCTCTTCCCAAAGATCTGATGTACAATATAGGCTTGTCTTGTAAAGCTGAAACATTTTTATTTTTAGACAAAACACTTCTTTAAAGAATATTTGTTTTCCTTAGAACCTGATTGAGATGTTGAAGAAGAAGAAGAGCACCAGGATGTGTAAGATCTTCCTAAACTATAAAACATAAGTCCTTTAAGCCCTTCGTGACGGGAGACGTACACCCGTACGGGGGACCAAATGACTCGTCCCGTACACTGTACGTGACGAGTTATTTGCTGCATTAGAGGGCTGGTAACGTAGACCATCCATTAATGAAAGGGTTAACCTTTTTAGACACCTGATACCCCAATATCGGGTGTCTGAGAGTCAAAGCAGAGCGGGCAAACATGCCGGCATGCCGGCGTATACTGGCTTTTTTTTTTCTTTCACTTTCAGGAATAGATACATAATGTATCTATTCCTGAAAGAAGAATGTTTCATTTTTCTGATCGTTGTTGGAACGATCAGAAAACCTTTAGTGACAGCTGAATCCTGAACTGCTGCAGGATCAGTGTCACTAACTTATTATTGGCTGTTCTGAAGTTTGAAGCAGCCTAATAATAACCAAAAATGTATAATTTATCAAGCAGTAATAGTGAGAATAATTCACAATGACTGCTTGATATAATTAAATAAATAAAATACAAATGTTAAAAGTTTTTAAAAAATTGTGAAAAGTGTAAAAAAATAAAGTGTAAAAAAAAAAAAATTAAAGGACAAATAAATGAATGTATTGATTGCATTTTTTTTTTTTTAGCTGTGCTGGTTTTGTAAAAAATACTACAAATCAAAACTGGGAAAAA